TTGACTTTGCCTGCTTCACTTTTAACATGGAGCAGAACTCCATGGGGAAAAACTAATGTCCTTTTATTGGCCAGCTAGAATTCCCCTTGCTTGGCACTGCTTCTTTTCAACTCTTCACTACCATGTACTTCATTTAGTCAGCAGCCATATATGTAAATTAGTTCTGGGTATTAAGGAATAAAGAACAGATGGTTTAGAAAATGCTTTTAGAATTATTTTTTTTTTCTTTAAAAGTAGTTTTGAACTCTGCCCAATTTGTCCAACTTATTTTACTAATTATTTTCACTTACCCTTCCTTAACTCTAAGTTTAACAGAAAAATTGTGGAGTTAATATTTTTTAAACCTGGTATCTAATATGTCAGATTTTGTTCCATAAGAATCCTTTTGTCTTTCTAACGGAAGACTTAACAGAAGAATGTGGCATTAAATAAGATTGTAAAATCACTTTCTAATACTACAGAAATAATGCTTCCATCAAATAAACAGAACAAAGTCTCCTCTACTAATCAAGAATGCCGACACGCAGTTATACAGTGACATTTCACTCTGAACACCTCAGACCAGTAACAAGCTTTTGAGGAAGACAAGCATACGTTATCTTGTCTGTATTTTATGCTTGCTTTGGATTGGTCATCAAGAGGCCAACTAGCATGACAAGTGAGGCAAAAGTCTGAATTTAGTACATACATCCTTGTAGAGTGTATAAAGTGTATGATAAGTGCCAAACCGCTGCCTCTAGAAACTGATACTCTTTCTTCCCAGAACAGGAATAACAATTACTTTTGTAATTGCAATTTTAATTGTAATTGTAAATTGTAATTTTTGCAAGCTTTTTTATCCTTGGTAAGTGTCGAGATCTGCTGACGTTTCTGAGGGTGATGCCAGTCTGTTAACCATTGAGAGCTTAGGTTTTGTAGAGTGTGGACAGCTGCCCCTGAGGAACCCCGCTGGATACCATCCACTTGTTTTACTGATGTCGTCAGAACAGTCAGTAGATGGTGATTTATTCACTACCCACAGAGATAAAGTTTAGGCTTAAGGATAACGACTGAATTCTGAAGGGAAGCATCGCAAATGGCATAGGTCTCCTGCTAACCACGCATTTAAAAAATGCAAAAATGAAGACGGTTAATCTGTGAAGAGATGGCACAAAGCTGGTCTTTATCTGGAACTTAATTTAGAGTTTCAACCATGGTAGTAATAAAAGAACAATTGAGGAGACAACTGATACTCTAATATACAGCACTTAAAAGGTAAACATTTCTAGTTTTAAAGTAGTATATGATGCACCTAGATCAAACTCATTAGGGCAGAGTTATTAAGTTTTAAGCTAGTTCTTCTAAAACCAGCACCTGATATAATAGCTGGACTATTTTAGTTTCGTAAATTTTGCATTAGCAGACAGAATATTTCATGTGTAGCTAACCAGTACAAATAAATGCTTTCTTGTTGGCATCTCCCATCAGTATGTTTTGTTCCAATTGCTGATTGTTTGTCAACACAAACTTCTCCAGGTAAATTTTGGTTTTACTTAGGTAACAACAGACACAAAGCTGTTTTGAAGGATGAAAACAGATTGTAACATGGGATCTGGAGACGGGGAAAGGAGGAATAGCAGCCATATTCTGTATTGACCAGTCACAATGGTGTCAGAGACTGTTACTCAAATCTCTGATCTTGTTCTGCCAGGTATCTCGCTTACCTTCAGCAGCACGAGTGCTGAAGCAGGATATGCGCACAGATGTGTGTAGTCATGGAGGTGTTGCGGAGCAGTTTTTCAGCAGGCTGTACAGAGAAAACGGCACGTAGCGGTTCTGAAGGAACTAGGTAGAGTTGAAATGGCACTATCATTTGATAAACAATATTTTAGTTATCATGAGGTAGCTACGTGAAAGCAAGGTATTTGTGCCAGTGTTATTGAATACTGGAATTAGCCAGCTAAGCTTGCTAATAAGTATGCAATGTTTACTGCGTTGCTCTGCTTTCTCTAAAACTGAACTACTTTGTTTGCGGTATATGCCTGAGGCGTTTGTGCGCCTTTCTGCTTGCACTGTGTTCATGGGAAGGTTTCATATCTCAGCTTTTCATCAATATTCAAATTTGTCATGATTCACCCGTCTTGTTTCAAATGATTATCTCAGTATCTGAGCAGCCTAGCTGAGACGTGGCTGACGCGTGCGTTGTATGATGTTTTTTTCTGTAAAACTTAAAGTATGTTAAGTTAAGGATGGTTTCTCATCTAGTAATGCCAGTGCAGCAGATCTTCAGTCAGTGGGCATTTGCCTGAGACTTTTACTGCTAACATTATTGGGATCAGGCTTACACCCATAGTGAACAACCTTTGCTTCAAAAAGTTGAAATTCGCAAGTGCATTTTGGCAGCTTGAAGAAGGGGAATTGAAAGTTAGGTAAACTCCTAGTATCAAGTTTTGCAGAAAAGTTTTTTGAAGGTTGAAAATTCTCACAATACGGGAAATGTTTTGCATGGTAGGATTGTTGCATAAATTGTGAAAAACAGGTTTAAACAAGTATTGGCAATATCCATGCATACAGTTGTTTCCTAATATAACTGAATTTGTTGTTTATTAATGAAATAATGCTTGTCTCTCTGGGTGCTTTTCAATAGTATATTCAAACAGATTAGTTATATGATAGGGGTACAGCATACCTTAGAGAAATGAGAAATTTGCATATAAGCAAACTTGTAGTAGCAATGGATTTTAAGAGGACTGGGGTTTCTGAACATAATTTCTTAGTTCTTAGTAAAAGGTGGGGTAAAATATTAAAAGTGTGTATGCATGCACTTATTAAATAAACCCATGAAGAGCTTTTAAGTGCTCAGATATCATCTCTGGCTCAAAATACCTAAGCTATGAGCAGCTGGATTCCTGGAGAGCATTCCAGGAAAGTACCCCTCGATACTTACCGTGTTCTCATATTCATTCATTTTGCTAACTGCTGTTGGTTATTAATACTAGGCTAGATGGACTTCTGGTTTGAGCTGTCCCTGTGTTCAGAGTATTCTCCCTTCCCATATATATATATATATTATCTTTTTTCCTCTACGTGGAGCGATATGAAGGCTGAATTAGCTTATGTTGTATTTTCTTATGTTGCGATGATGCTGTGGCTATATGAGTTGATCCCTGATGTTGCTCCGAAACACCAGGCAACGGAGGATGGCAACTTTGCCTGGTTCCCAGGAGTTACAAAGCTAGCTTTGCAAATCCCATCAAGAAAATCTTGGAGAATACCATCTTTTGATACATCTTCAGTGAAGGTCATTAGTTAAATATCACAGGCATTATGCTTTAAATCTCCTTAGTGTTCCCAGTTCTTCACAGGTCTGTGTAGGCCTGTCTGTCCTACATAAATGTCAAAAGATTCATCTTGGCCAGTTACTTACTGTCCCAACATCTTCTCTCGCATCTATGGCAACTTTACCTGGAGTTGCCTAGAATTACTCCTAAATAATGAGTAGCATAGGCCCGCTAACTGTTACTTAATTGTGTAACGAATTTGTCTTAGTAATGAAAATCTAAATTTCTGACCTATTTTGTAATATAAAAATACCAAAGCTTGGAGAAGGGCTTCTAGTCTAAATTCCAATACTATGTTCTTTTTTGTAATTGTAGCACATGTGGGGAAGAAAGCTTGCCTTCCCCTGCCCCAGAAAATTAAAGGTTCTATTTTAACTCTTCAGTGTCTGGTATTAATTTGTGATGGGAAGCTATTTCTGGTTATACATATGATGATTTCCTTTAGCTAAACTTTACTTTTTTTTTTTGCTTATGTGTCCTTATTTGGTCTGCTTTATTAAAGTTATACTACTCTATATAAAATGGTGGTATCTGATGCAGAGACTTCAGCCATATTCTAAATGCGATGGCTGCAATTATATCCGCTAACGGCAACCACTGGCTGTATGCCAAGTAAAATGAATAAGAGTGATCTAATTGTTAGATGAAACAATGAGACACGTGAAGAACTTGGTAGTACTTTAGTAAGTCTCTTAAATTCTCTTTACTCTTCAAAAAGCTTAGCAGATCACTGTTTTTGGTGGAGATGAGCATGTTTGTATTCATACATGTCATATTTCAAATCGTAAGAGAATAAAAAATTATGAGATACCATACTCACTTTAACCTTCCCTTTTCCAATTTAACTGGTTCTTGACCAAACTTATGCAAGTAGGTTTGTGCAAATGTTCTTACTTGGGGTACTGCTTACTGTCTGTTAACCGCTTTGTTTTTCAAAGCGTGGCGGAATGTGCACAGGTAGCTCCTGTCTCTATTGAATTTTACCCCATTAGGTGTATGTTTGTCTATAGAGTGGTACGTTAGCCTGAGGATTAGTTTAGCTGTTTGCAAGCTTCCCTGTTACTAATCATTACCTCTGCTTTGCAGAACATATTCAAGTCCTGTAGGTTTACAGGTCTGTAGAGCCCTTGGATGTTTTTACCTTTTTATATTCGCCTTTGCCAGTAAGCATGAATATTATTCTTTTTTGGAGAATATTCTGCTTGTTTGGATTTTTTTTTTTTCACTGAATAATTAAGTTCTACAGTTTGATGACTGCATTACGTGTTCGATTATTGCAGCTATAGAATTTCCCCCTCTACCTTATGTTGTATAGTTCCATCCTTTTTGAAAGGGACTTACTAAATTGCAGGTAGAAGAGCTCTTGCTTTTGTAACTTTTTCCAAAACCTTTCTGCTCTTCATTAATAAGATTGTTGCAGTAGCAAAATCAGCTCAGGAAGGAATGACCCTCAGAACACCACCTGACTGGCCAGCCAAGAACTGAAACAAATATCTAAGGAAAAAGTTGGGAACATTGGTCAGTGTGTTACACTGGCAACTGGATTATCAAACTGGTCATCATTTCATCAGGATTTTTTTTGTCCTTTGTACTTTTCAGTTGATTCATTAGATCCCTGAACTTTAACAAACAAACAAACAAACAAAAAAATCCTTTGAAATTCTGTTTTGTCTTCAACAGTGCCCTTAAAGATAGTCGTTTCCCCCCAATGACGAGGGATGAGCTGCCACGGCTTTTCTGCTCGGTGTCTCTGCTCACTAACTTTGAAGATGTATGTGACTACATGGACTGGGAGGTAAGGATGTCAGATATCTTTTAAGAAAATTACTTGGATACCATGAACATCTATAGCAGAAGTCACACCGTTTAAATTATCTGCATATATTTAGTGTAGTTGTCACTGGTTTGCACTCTGTACACATTGTTTTGTACATAGGTTCAAAAGATCCCTTTGGTAGAACTGTCATCACCTTAAAAGTCTGAGCCATGAAAATGGAATAAAGTTGTATTCTTGCCCACTTATGCACTCAAAGTAAGAGTGGTCTGCACAGCTGTATTTGTGTCTAAGACTCCATCAAGCAAGGTATTGTCTGAGTGATGGTGTCCTGAGACCTCTTTTGCAGCATAGCTAACTACAGAAACATGGTAGATCAGTCCATAGATTCCGGAAAGAGGATGTTCCAGTATGAAATTTAATAGTTTGATGTATGCTTCTGGAAACAAGCACTGCAAAAAAATTGCAGTCCCAAAACAAGTTGCCTTATTTAGCTCGTAGGAGTGAGCAATTTATCTTTCCCCAAACTTTGCTCAGAGTGAGGGGCCTGCACAGACCCCAGAAAGCCCTTATACAATGAGGCCAAGTAAATCATTGCTCTTGTTTTTCTTTGGTACTTATGCATGGAGCTGAATCTATTTTAATTGTTAGGTTCTAGGAAACCTGCATGCATTCTCTTGGAACAGCAGCACAAAAGAGATTAAGAAGCAAATGCTGCTTTTAGAGTTATTTCTGGGAAGGTATACTGAAGGAAGTGTTATTCTGTATTCTTCTGCTTTTTCAAAATTATTTGGTATTAGACACTTGCAAAAAACAAGTTACTGGACTTAAGATGAACTTCTCATCTCAGTATGACTGTTGTGTTGCTCTGAGTCTATATTTGAGTGGACGTAAAAAAATTTTGAAATTGTCATATATGATAATGGACATGTTATAATGCCAGAGACGCCACACAAGTTACAGTATTTCCCTTTAATAATGAGTTAGCCCTGCTAAATATTGAGGATTTCTTAAGGTAAAAGAGGCTTTCTGTTGTATTCACACATAACAAATGTATATTGGAAAGAAATTTCGTTTGTTGATATAAATGGTAAGAGGCCCTACTGTATCAGAATGGTGATATCCAGCAGTAACCTCAGCATTATGAATTTTACAGTAGCTGAAAATCTAATAAAAATGCATTTCCTGTTCAACTCATAATGACAAGGGCTTCTTACCTTCTGATATGTAATTCTGAATGAGATGAATGTAAGTTTCCTTTGGGAAAGCATTTCAGCATTTTCACCATAAACAGAATTATTCATTTTTTTATGTAATGTCAGACCAAAAAAATAAATCTTAGCTGAAACTGCATGTGCATTCTCAACAAGAAGCTTTTTTTCAGAGAAGGAGTTTGTCTTGTCACTGAGCCCTTAGAGTACTTTAAAAAATGTTTTCAAGTAATCAAAACTGTAGTGACTTTTAATACTAAACCAAGCTGGAAATCAAAATTAAAACTGGTAGGATTTTTCTGTTTTACGAGGTTGACTTCTGGTAGTAACCATAGTGATGTTTTCAATGTAATTTCATTTATTATAATTTATTAAAAATCAGACTATGAATACACTCAGAAAATGTCTCTTTAAAAGTGTGAAGCGCCTAATGAAATAGCATTTAGCTCTTACCATGTGGTAGCCTATAAATATTATTAGATGCTGTTTTATTCTCTGAATAATAAACTTCGAAGATGACCAAAATATTCATCCTTAAAGAGAAGCTGAAACCAAAGCTGAGTTCAAAACTCCACTCTCCCTTGGGAAGACTGGTTTTAACTTTGTTCCTTGGGAGACTTCTGATTCATAACTGTAATGCTTGTATGAAACAAAGGAGGCTTTTACTTCCGATGTCCTTTCTATATCTTGTTGCAGAATCCTTGAGACTTGCAATAACAGTGTAAACAAGCTTAATGCAGAACTGTAGTCTTGCTCGGTTCTGATTGATTTTATGGATTCTCATGATTCTTCTCATTGGAAAGCCCTGACTTATGAAGGAAGAATGGAGGGGTCAAAAATAGACTAGTCCTTGTGTTACCCATTTGCTTAGTTGCTCTCTCCTATTTCATTTAAGGTTTTTTAACGATAGGCTTTTAAAACCTCTAGCAAATTCCTAGGAATTCTGAGAAATGGTCACAAAGTAGGTTCCATGATTTTTTTTTTTCTTTTTTTCCTGTAAGTTAAATGTGCTTCTCAAGTGATTGCATTATATGTAGTTGTGGATGATCCACAAGCTTTCCATGCAAAAGGGGCAGGGGGGTGTATAAATACGAGAAAGATAAAATTTTTAATTGTTAGTCCTTAAAAGAATGATTCATTGCTGTTTGTGCCTCTGTCAGTGAGATAGCTTATGTCATCCATGTTTCTTTTAAGGGAGCTGCAGTTATGCAATATTAATGGCAAAAAGACATTTCAGGATGTCTAGAGTATGACGTAAAGAGGGATTCTGCATCTTTCATCTCGTATAATGCTGATTTCCAGATCATCTTGAAAAACGTCAGCCTGGTTAGGAGACCTTACTTCTGTAGGTACGCTACTGACGATCTTGTGGGAGCCAATTCAGCAATTTGCTGACAGAGGTCACACTGTTTCAAAATTGCCGATTCAGACAACTCGCAGTGCTCTGGCGGCTTAGAGACAAGATCATTTGAAGACACGGCTCAGGAGTCTCTCCTATATCCTGAAGCAGAGTGATAGATCTTCTTTTCTCTGACTAATGAATTATCTTCCCAAACTAAATCAGTTAATATTTCAGTTGTAAAAAACAATGTGAGATCCTTTTGCAGCAGAAACTTCAACCAAGTAAACAGGAGATATGAGTGAATTGACTGCTATTAGCTCCCATATGATTTTTCAAATTGCTGCCATTTTCACCTTTTATAAAAGTAACTAGGAGAAAGTGCAAACCTTTAAATGACCACTTCAATGCCATGGTTCATGAGGATGCTTCCTAAAATATAATTTAGCATTCTTACTTACATGTGACTTTATATGAATTGCAGTGCACTTCAGTAGTTGAACAGATGTAGGGCTTTGAACACGGGGGCTGTATGAACTGTTTCTTCATTTCTGCTAGAGAGAACCCATGAAATATTGCTGTGGTCCAGTTGCTGCTGGGGGGGAGTTTCACAACCTTTCTGTCTCAAAGAAATGGGCAACATGAGAAACTCTAAGATATGTTTCTTCTTTTGATAATACTGCTCTTTAATAAAAGAGCAGATATCAAAGCACTACTCGGGGGACAAGTCATAAAAGACCAATTATTTTTAAACACATTTGATACTGATAGCAGTCATTCCTTCCCCGCATAAACTCAGCTTTATCTGTATTTCCATTCTCCTTGAGCTTATCTTTTTGATCTGTCCTTCTACCAAGTGTTTTCTTTCCTGCACAAATTTGAATTCCTGCCTCAGGATGCCTCCAATTTTGCTGTTGATTCCTAATGCAGAGGTACTTGCATCTCACGTTACGCTGGGAACTGTGTGTGTAGTTAGCAGCACCCCAAAAGAAGGAATGTAGAAGAGTTTGAATAGATTGCTGTGAAGTATCATGGCTTTGGGTCCTTTAGAAAGAACTTCTGTTTGGTTTGTGAAGCTCATAAGTCTGCAATTTGGGCAAATAAGCCTACGCTCAGAAAGTCCTCTGAGCGGATTCAGATCCCAGGAGTGGCATATATAAGGTGTGATCACGTTGTAGGTCTTGCAGTTCCAGCTTTGGTGCCACAGGCTCTGCCTCCTTGAGAGGGTATGGCTGCAAGGTACATTACAATGGCAGATGATTTAATGTATCCCCTGCGTGCTTTTTTTCTCTAGAAATACAGAAGAGAAAAGCAAAGTGCCTCTACTCATTCCCTCTCTATTTCATGTTATAGCAAATGAACACCTTTTTAATTTATTTTCTCATTAATCTAATTAAGAATCTGTGGGTGTTTTCACTAGATGGTAAAGTCTTGCTAATTCAGACCCTATCCCCATTTTTTTATTAAAACAACATAAACATTATGATTATATGTAATTATAATAAGAAACTTTTTGGAAAATGTTATTGTAATTCCAACAGGGTAATAAATAACTAGAATTGACCGGCGGCTCTTCCTTAAAATACCTTGAAAGAGATCTTTGCCCTGAAGTTGCTGTTCTTCAGTAAAGTAAAATCTGCAGAATTGTACATGCTTGCTGTGTTGATACAAAAGGCCTTTAGCCTGTGCGCGCTGGTTTAAATATTAGCTTAAATAGTTGTAGCCAATAATGTTGACTGAAAGGTGGCTTTTCATTGTCGACAAAGTTATACATTTAAGAGTTGTGGAAATTCTTTCCTTCCTGCAAGTGCAGCAGCACCAGCAACTCTTGCAGCTTATATTCCTTAGAACAGAGAAGAAAGAGTCTTGATCTCAATATTTTATTCTCTTTGGACGATATTCAGTGATTCCATGTATGTAAATAAATGATTCTTTAAAAAAAGAATGCTTGTCATGAAGTAGAGAGCGTATCTCTTGAGTAGTCTTTTGCCTCCATTGTTAAATCAGAATGTAGTATTTGAGCCCTACTAAAGATGATCAGAAAGAAGCCAGCATATTTGCTACAAACGTGAGGCTAAAAAGCTGTAGAATTCAGCTAATAAAAAGTGGGGTCCACTTCTAATAAGTAGCAATAGTCGCTTAACCGGAAGCGTTCCATTTCCAGACAAGTTTGTATACAGCTATTTCTATAGTACTAGTTAAGTAAGTAAAGGGGAAGGTTACTATGTTATGCGGTATCATAAGGAATACTGTACAAGTTATAGGCCAGCTTCTTTGAAAATGTTTATCGCTTGCTGCTGTTCAAAGATTGAGCTGGCAAACCGTCAGTCAGTAGAAGGATTAGCCATAACCCAGAACAGCCTGATCCGGTTCATCATGCGGTTGCGTGAATGCTTTTACTGGGAGAACTGAGAGGCAGGCAAGCAGAGTTTGTCGCAGTTCATCTGGCGTGCTGGCGGTAAGGATTGTACATCAAGCCATGTTTCTAGTCTTGAGTGGAGGAGAACAGCAAATAGCGAGTGAACTTCAGGAACAGGCAGACGCTTGTTTCTAACACCAAGGAGGTGCTGTGCTCCTCCAGCTCTGGGGCATTCCGTGTGGATTCTTTGTAACAGATTCTTTGTTATCTGCTTTAATGTATTTCTGAAAAAATGTTTACAATTAATTCATCTTAAACTAAGTAGTGATAATTGCATGCAAATCTCTTACAGAATTCAGTGCAGTAGATAAAACTGAACAGAATGATTATCTGATGATAATTTACTCCACAGTGGACTAGAAGCTTAAATTTCAACAAGGCTTGATGTTTTAGATGCTTATCCAAATTCCATGTTGATAGTCTAAAGAGAATAATGTTATTTTTTTCCTCTCAGTATGGTTGGACAGTCAGTACAAGAGGAACAGATTTGTAAACTGTGTTTGGAACTTTGAGTCAGAACAGTCAAACATGAGCGTTGCTTGAACGTTGGTTTCAGGGTGGGAACAATTTTTGGAGCAATTTTTTCTCAGCCCAACTGAGGATAGATGTATAGAGAAGCGTATTATGGGCAATAATCTAGCAAGTGCCAGAAGCGCTTGGCAAAACAGTAAATGTGGTGTGTGTGTGTTTTCCCCCATGCCGAGGTGTATGTAAATAAATGATTCATTAAAAAAAGAATGCGTATAAATGAATTTGAATGTGTATAAATACACAACAAAGTCTGAAGTTCTGTTGAGGTCACTTCAGAAGTAAAATAAAAAATGTAGTTTAATGCAGTCCTTAGATTTAGTGAAAGGTCTGTGTTTTTTAATTAATATTGTCACTGAACCTAGTTTTAGGTAGCCTCTGGCCACTTATACAGTGGGCCAAAAAGTTTATATCCACAAATATTGGATACGTAGTATACAGTATTTCATGCTCTAAAACCCTATAGAAATATTTCTGTCAGAGGGGATTGGTTTGTTGCCTTTCTAAGTCCCTCTCCTTATCTCACTCTGCTCTCCCAATAGCAACAGTCTAAATAGATTCTATCCGTCTGGGAGGCTGGCACGGCAATTGTGTGGTCTTTTTGCAGCTCAGAAGGATACCTGTATGTAGTCATTTCCTAAATGGTAAGAGATGAGACAGAACTTAAACTCCCTCTGCAGAAGAAGATTGTTTGGTTTGCTTTTCTGAACTGCACAGATGTTGTTATTCTACAAAAACTTGCCTGTAGTGTATCAGTATTTTTAGTCTGAGAAGCACGCCATAGGCTTTGTATAAAGTTCTGGTAGGCAAGCCAGTTACAGCCCAGTTAATGCCTTGCAAACATGTACCTACCCCTTACCTCCCATCTTAGAGAGGAACATTTTGGGAAATTTCACAGTTGTTTTCATCAATGCAGGAACATTGGTCTCTTGAGGAAGTCAAAATCAATTCCTAACTGTGCCCATGCCAATCTTAGCGTGGATCATTCTTATTTTGCTTGTGTGTGGCTTCCATTTGTTTAACTCAGGCCTGGTTTTGATTAACTGGAGCTAAACAATGAAAAGCCATTTGTACTGGACTAAGAATACTGCTTAGCTATGCAGTTGGAATTCATACTTCACAGAATGCCATGAAACTTTCCCAACCAGAGGAATTGTGGGTGCAGTTGTGTTGCCTTACTCATTTGGCTCCACATCTTTTCCTTCTACAGGCACGGGCCTAGAATTCCATTAAAATGGCTAATGGGAAACCTCCAGTGCAATGCAATTCCCTGCTGCTTGCATGTTGCGTCATACTTAATACATCACTAGTGCTTCTGGTTAGTTTCTCATGAATGCTAGATGATCACTATTATGCAAAACAGTTGTGTAGAATTTAGAATCTGATATTCTGCAGGATTTGAAGGTGTGCAAAACCTGAAAATATTTGATCTTAGTGCTTAGGCAATTGAATATAGACAGTTACAAAATCACCAGCTGCAAAAACTTGCTCTGTTCTTGGAATAAACTCGGTAGGCTCATTTCAGCTTCTAACACTGTTTCATTTTACTTTCAGGTCCTTTGGGTTCATAATTACATCACCTGAGCATACAGATTTGATATCTCTAGTGATTATATATCCATGTTATGAAAGTTAGGTTTAGGAGTGTTTGGTAATGAAATATCACATTAAAATTTGCAGTGAATTAAATTCGTTAGTCTCAAAGTAATTTTTCCTGTTTAAGAAATGTTAGGTTCATGGGGAAAAATTGTTGAGGCCGTGGCCAGCCACAAGAGAGACTCTTCCTCCCATTTCCTCATGCTTATATATAAAGATTATAAAGATTAAAAAAGAAAGTCTTAATATAAGCAAATATGTTAACTGAATAAGTGGTAGAGCTTTTTAAGTATTCCTTATTTGTTTTTTGACCATCATGCAGTTACAGTAAAATAGGTTGTCACCAGAAAAACTGCTACGGCATTTTTCAATTAATTTTGTGTCCAAAAAAAAGTGCCATACCAAATAACGTGATACCCTTTTAAACATAAACTATTCGTTTCCACATACAATGTTGGGAACTTTGGATTTAAGTGGCAATGACTTCTTAGTTATGTGGGCATGAAAATAAAAATGTCCGTCTACTAATGCTTTGTGTTTATGCACAGAACTCAAAAGCAACTGAAAACTTACTGGCAATGGAATATCTTTTATGGCATGCCTGATCCAAGTGCAGGTACTCTCAACTGACTTATTGTACCTTGAAAAGAGGAGTGGTTAAACAATGCCCTGGAAAGCTGCCTAGCCTCATTTTATGTTTTTTAATTTTTTTTTGGCAGTTCAACTTTATCTACGCCTAACTCCTTGGTATTAGTAATTTTGGTTTCCATACTGGCATTTTGTCACATTAGAGTACTTAGTAGCATGGAAATAGGAGTTTGAAGCTGAATGCTTTGGAATATATCTCCTTTTCCTCGTCATACATTGGCAGAAATCTTGAAGGCTCCAGGCTCGAGTTCGTAGTGTGACAAATCTTTCATTGTTCAGTTGTGACTTTGAACAAAATTAACGCTCTTAATTGAAGCATCATTAGACTTGCCAGCTGTTTGGTTGCCTGCAGATTATGTCTGGTGACCAGGTGATTTTATCAGCAGCAACATTGCTGACAGCGTCAGAGGGAGACAGTAGACTCAGAGACAGAACGACTTTTGCATCTCAGCTGGCTTTCCTTCAGACCAGAAATGAAGCTCTGTGGTGGGGAGCTGAGGACCGTATTTATGCTGCTGCTGACCTTACAAGGTTGTTAAGGTGAACACCTTGCAAAATGATTACGTTCACTTCAGTACCACCTCTTGAAACTCTTTGCAAAAAGGTATTAACCACTGAAAGGTTCGCGTTTTGGGTTTTATCATGTTAGAAATCTCTTGTATCTTCTTTCTTTCAATGTACTAATAAAGCTGCCAATTTCTTGCAGGTGGGTGTACATGGCATTAGAATAGAATTCATCAATGAAAAAGGATCAAAACGCACCGCCACCTACTTACCGGAGGTTGCAAAGGAGCAAGGTCATTGTTGCACTTTATTTCATATGATCTGGTGAAGAATTTAAACATACGTGTAAATCTAAAATGCAATATTTGACCTTGCACTGATGTCAGATGATGGAGCAATATTTAATTGTAAGAAGACTCTTATATAAAATGCCAATTACATGCCTGTATCAATCCCCTTATAGGGATTCAGTAAACTGTAGCTGTTTTTTAAAGAAGTCATAAATGCAGCGTAGCTGTAGGAAAATAAAATATGGAGGGGGGGGTACAGTGCTGTCGACCAACTTTACAGTTGTTAAAAGCTGTCAATTTTCGTATAGTTGTTACGCCGTGATGTTAGTGACATGCAAAAACTCTGTTAAGTGATGGGATGTCTGGTCAATTATCTTAACTGCTGATTTCTTCCTAAATTTGCAGTGATCAAGGGTTTTTTTCAGTTAAGTACTTTCTGCTAGTACTTAATTCCATTTATAAACACTGGCTTCCTGGGGTTTTTGATGGATGGAAGGGAATTATTTCCAATACGAAAGTCCAAAATAATATTGTTAAAGTCCCTTTTAATAGAGGCACAGACTTAAGTTTGTGAATTAAAAAAACTATGGTAGATTTTGTTGAATAGTAATCTTTTGGACTAAGCAGCTGACTATGACTGCTCACTATGTTGTTTTTTTTCCCCAAGCTTGGCAGTGTGTCTCAATCTTTTACATTTTGCATTGCTGCTTTCTGCCTTTTTTTTTCCTTTTTATATTTGAGTTGGTCTACTAAGGAAATGAAACCTTTACTGAGGATCATCTTTAATTGATAATTCCGTTTCCAAATAGTCACTTAAAAGTTTAGAGGCTTTCCAAGCCAATTTTTTTGCTTTTCTAATCTAAGGTTGGCTAGTTAGAGAAGTGGTTTTTTGTCGAGACCTTTGGTGATCACTTAACAAGCTCTTTTAAATTCAGGAATTGGGGGCGGGGTGTCTTTTAAATTTCTAAATTGTTTTAGTAGACCATGCATTGCAATCTGACTTTTTCAAGTACCCAAAACTACCCATAACTACCCATTTGTATTTTTTTATGTACTCAAAACTACCCTTTTTTTTTTTTTTATGTGACAATGTGACTAATCTAATTGCATCTTTTGGAAATAACATGTCTAACGGCTACTTAAAATATTAGGCTTTTTTAAATCCATAAATAGGAGTTTTGAATAGCATGAAGATTTTATTGAGAACAGTAATAAATCTGTATTTTTAATCCATCACTTCTTTTTACTACCTAGCCACCTATAATATAATATAATAGTTCTGAAATTAGAAATATCACTGTGAAGTTAAATGATATTTATGGAGACGTCTAATCGCTGAAGTTCTCTGCACGTGTTCAACTAATAATTCTTTTAAATTTTATACAGAAATTTAATTTTTCATACTGTCATAGCCATTTACGATGTATAAAGTGATTGTGATACATGATCATACCTGAACGTTTCAGAAGAGTTTAACTCTGTATCTTGCCCCCAATCTAGGACACCTGGATATAGTGGGTCCATTTTTAAAATATTCCAACTACGAGATAAAAATGTGTGTTGTTTGTAGAGCAAACTTTGTCTGTAAAGAAATCCTATACGTGATATTTCCCACAACTGTTCTTAAGTAGGGAAGAACGATCTGTGTTTTATACAGAACTTCAGCAGAGCACTTTCATTATCAGTAACACTACGTACTGTACTGTATTTTTGCAACATCTGTTCTTACTGCTATATTTCTCACTAATTTTTACTGCTGTAAAATTCAACAGGATGGGACCACATTCAAACCATAGATTCCTTATTGAGGAAAGGAGGCTACAAAGCTCCGATCACTAACGAATTCAGGAAAACAATAAAGCTAACCAGGTATGCATCGTGGGATACTACAGATAAGTCCTGTTTTTGTAATACCGTGATGTGTTCATTCCTGGTAAGTGCTTATTTCAGTTGTTAATAGTAAGCTTTCCTGTATATATTATTAATGATTTCTTTCTTTTCACAATAGCAGTACGGACTTTCGAGAATATCTGTGCCTTGCATAGGGATTAGTGGCACTAAGCAAGAAAGAAAAGGCTGTTAAATATCAGGCTACATACATATCAGGGTACCTGCATGTTTTGTTTCATAACTCTGAAAAATCTTAGCAGTGTATTAGCTCTTGCTTTTTACAGTTTGTTCATCGGCTGTAACGGATCTTCAGGGGCTGTTGCTAACAAGGATTACTTGCCATTGTCAATTTGTATTTGAGCAGATGGTGCGCTGTGGGTCTGCTGCTGTGAAGTCATGGAGGCCCCTCAGTCCTAGTAATCTGTTCGATTCTCAAAGAAAGCATTGGGTCTTTTTTATCTCCTGTGGAGTATAGGTTTCCCTTACCTTAACAGGTATTAGGTATGCAAACTAGGTAGCTGATTGACAGTCGGTGTACTAGTTAAACTATGTCAGGGTATTCTCAGGAGTGAAGACATGAATTTAATGTTTTGTTTCATACTCTGTCACTCTCGCACACTACTGTACCTTGATTTTGCTAATTTAATAAAACGTGTTCTTGAGGGCTTCTTGGTGGGAGCCAAAATATTTCAGAATTAGCAGCAGATATTCTGCCCATAATATTGTAGTTATGTGGTGAAGGGTGGAGGAGTAAATGTCTATAAGAACGCCTCTAAAACTATGTATTTTTATAAGCTTGCAGTATGAAATGACTGCTAAACTCTAGTTATCTATTCCATGCTTGGAGAAATAAGAATTTTTTAAATCTTACATCATAAGGAAGTATTGACTGTTCATCCTCTTCAGGGAGGCCACACTTGACATACTATTAATACAAATAACAAAGCTAGAATCCTTTGTCCAGAACTGTTACCCTTCCTATCTTTTACCAACTTCTAGGGACTCACAGGATCACAAGATTAGTTTTAAAAGTGTTGTATATATGACTCTTGTTTCTGTGTCCTGATTTCTTTGGAAATTCTTTCCTCCTTAGTGCAGCTAGGTGTAAGCCAGACTTGACTTCCTTGTCCATAATTAAACCTAATCCTTTAATTTCAGACATTTGAAAATACTTGGATTCTCCTGATTGTTTGTGCACTTTTATAGGACAAAGACCCAAGATTTTGGTTTGTCATCTTCATCTACAAATCTTGCTATTACTTAGCAGTAGTTTGTTTAGACCAGCTGGAAGGCAAAGCATTTCTTAGAAAAATAAATATTCTAGTATTAGAGGAATTACTTGTTCAGTGACCTTGTGGATGAAGGATAAAGACACTGTGTCTCAGTGACTACTCAGAATTCTGGATTCTCGTAGGAACCCAATTACTGTGGAGTAGCTGTGACTAAGGAAAACATGCTATTCTGAAGGTTAAATTAGGGAGGAAGGATTTACAGAATCCAGCTAAATTTCCAAATGCAGAACCGCAATCTCCTTTCAATTTATTTCAGCTGTACACCTTGTTATCTTCTGTTAAAAAAGAATATATGGAGATAGCTGAGGGCAAGAGTAAGAGTGCTATAGTTCTTAAATGACAATTTCTGTACACCTCGGTAAATAAGGAATATATTTTTTCAAGAAACAAAAATTCTATATAGTACACATTTTCTTCCAGCTACGTGGTTTTATTTGGAGCAATGGCATGTGAGCACAGAACAACCCCCCCCCATCCCAAAACAAGACCCCACCAAAACCCCTGTGTTTAGTGTATTTAAGTTCACAACATCCAAACTGCTAGCAAAATCACTGGCCTGATAAGTAGAATAAACAAAGCATAATTTTTATGGTCAGAAGAAATTTTTTTTTTTTGGCTGTCTGTTTTACTTGCTTAAAAACTCAGCTTCTGCTGACATATTATAAACAGTAGTATTAAAATAGTAACCATTTCCCAGCATCAGACAACCTTTTTAGAGCCTCATTGTAATAACTTCTTGTCATAAAGTAAAACATCTATTGGAAGAGTGGAATAAGTGCTTTTAACTTCTTTTTCAAGTCTCTGAATTAAAGTAAATGTCCTGTGTGTGAATAAAGCTTTAAGTTGATCAAAACTAGTCTACTGCTAGCTATCTTGACTTCAAGTTAATACCCAGTAGTTCCGGCCGTATGTTGAAGAAGAGGACTGAAAACCAGTGGAGCTGAAAGAAGTGTACCAATTCTAGGGATCTAGAATGCATAAGGACCGTAACTGCATTTTCTCTTCCATCTGCTTAAATGAGCAGATGTGATTCTAGTCAGGCTGCCTTTGGCCTGCTTTGTTGACCCACTTACAACCAACTTCATTAACTGCCAAGCTTATGGTTTAGTTTCGTAGTGGCAGGGGATTTTATTCACAGACCAGCTTACTCGTCAAGTGCGGAGTGCCGCATACCATTCACAACAATTCCAGAAGAGCTGCAGCTAATCTCTCGGCAAGGACCAGCGGCCACTTGTTAAATTAGTACATCATTAACAAACTCTGTTGTATCAAGTAAGCGTGGGCGCCTTTGGTGCTCTGAAACACGTCCACTGAAGCAAAAAGCTGCAAGCGTAAGATGTTCTGCTCTGTTCCTCTGGCAAAGAGGCAACAGAAGCAAATGTGTTTGCCACCTTAATTGCTGCAGTTGGTAACTCCACAGTAGTTTAAACTTTTGTGTTGGGTTGTGAGTGTGAGTGGTTGAGCCATCTGTTATGGTTTTTTTAGACCGAAGAGAGGAGAGAACAACCAGAGCAACTCCAGAAGAAAAATATGATAGAGAAGAGAGGTTGCAATATTTTAAATCACTGTAGCTGGATTCACCAAATCTCATCTGTCAGATCTCTTATGCAAGGTTTTTCTAAGTGAAATTTGTGGAAATGTGGAATAGTGTTGGTTTTGTGTAGATTTTACACTTCTACAGATAAGTGTAAATTTGGCAATATCTTCTTTGTTGTCAAACAATACTGATGCAAGTATATCCAAAACATTTGTTGCCAGGGCCTGGATTCTGCTTTTAGTTAAATATAGCTGGCCGATGTTATTGCAGGACCTCTCTCCATTATTTTTCAACAGTCTTCGGAGTCTGGACAGGTCCCAATCGACTGGAAGCTGGCAAATGTTGTCCCATTTTTCAGGAAGGGTAAGAAGGAAGACCTTGGCAATTACAGGCCTGTCAGTCTCACTTCAGTGCCTGGTAAAATTATGGAGAAGGTTATTCTGGGAGCTATTGAAGAACACTTGAGAGACAACGCAGTCATTGATCATAGCCAGCACGGGTTCACAAGGGGAAAGTCCTGCTTCACCAAATCAATTTCCTTGTATACCAAGGTCACTCGAATAGTTGACCCAAGGGAAGGCAGTAGGTGTGGGGTTTTTTGATTTTAGCAAAGCTTTTGATACTGTCCCTCACAGTATCCTTCTGGACAAAATGTCCAGCACACAATTAGACAAGTCCATAATATGTTGTGTGAGCAATTGGCTGATGGGTCGGGCTCAAAGAGTTTTAGTAAATGGGGTGACATCAAGCTCGCGGCCAGTCACCAGTGGGGCCCCCCAGGGCTCAATTTTAGTGCTCTTTAATGTTTTTATGAATGACCTGGATGCAGGAGTCAAATGTACATTAAGTTTGCTGATGATACTAAATTAGGAGGAGCTGTGGGCTCCCTCGAGG